TCTTCCTCTGGACTGGAGTGGCCGCTTTCTTTTTCAGGCCAATGGTGGATTTGGTGGAGAACTCATTCCAGCCTTAGGTTATGTTGGAAGCGGGGGGCCACTCACCAATGCCTTATATGAAGGCTTTGCTGTGATCTCCTCAGATATGGGTCATACACTTGAACAAATTACTACTTTTGGTATAGACCCACAGGCCAGGCTTGATTATGGTTATGACTCGATGATCAAGTTAACCCCGATGGCAAAGCAGCTCATCAGGTTTAGCTATGACAAACTGCCAGACCGATCTTATGCAGGTGGCGCTTCACGAGGTGGAAATCTGGCGCTGAATGCAGCTACACGCTTACCAAGGGAATATGATGGTATTTATGCCAACTCGCCTTCCTTTGAGCCGCCTCTTTCATCAATAGCACAAATTTATGATTTTAAAGAACTCCGAAAAGTCGCTACGGAAATTGATGAGACAATAACAGCTTTTACCGATGCTGAAAGAAAAGTTGTAGCGGATTCTGTCTTAAATAAATGTGACAAGCTGGATGGTATTGTAGATGGCATGGTACAGGATGTAGACCGATGCCAATCAGAATTTAATATCCAAAGAGATGTTCCGGTGTGTCAGGGAGAACGTAATGGAACCTGCCTGTCAGCAGAACAGATACAGGTTATCGCTGCTGTATTTGATACACCTGTAAACTCTAAAGGTGAAAAATTTTATGTCAGTGAACCTTATGATCCAGGAATCGTTGGACAGAAATGGGCCAATTTGAAACTAGCACCTCTTAGCGCTTTAGATCGTAGTGCTGGAGTATTAGGCACTGTGTTCGAGACTCCACCTAATTTATTAGGATTGGAAAGACCGAGTGAATATATCTTGAATTATAATTTCGATACTGACCTTATCAAGCTATACAGGACAGATAACACCTATAAGGAAAGCTCAACTGCTTTTATGGGACCACCTGATCCATTAAATGTGACGCCTCTCACTTCAAGAGGAGGTAAAATTATGGTAGTACATGCAGTAGCGGATGGCTCTACCTCCGAGAAGGAATCACAAAACTGGTATGATCAGCTTTTGCAACGTTATTCAGCCACTATACAGAATTCAGTACGATTTTTCCGGGTTCCGGGTATGAACCATGTTTCTCAGGGTGTGGCTACTGACCAGTTTGATGGACTGACTGCACTGGTCAGATGGGTGGAATATGGTGAAAAACCTGACCGTATTATTGCCACTGCACGCGGTCCGGGTAATCCGAGTGGAGACATTAATTCTGAAATCCCGTCAAACTGGGCACCAAACCGGACCCGCCCACTCTGTCCATACCCATTAATTGCACGTTATAGCGGTCGGGGAGATAGCGAAAAAGCTGAAAGCTTTAACTGTGCTCGATAGCTTTTACACTTCACTTAAACGCTTACTCAACTGGAAGAAATAACTTTTATTTCTTCCAGTTTTAATTCGCTATCTGGATTTAAACACGAT